TGCCATTTATTACCTGTTTCATCTTGGTTGAGTGGCTTAGACTCTCTGGGATTCAGTTTCCTCATCTATAAAATAAGGGGATTGGACTAGATGACCTCTCTTAGATGATCCCACGAGCTTAAAAAATTGTCTTCTAACTAATCTGGCCTCCTAATTTGTTATGCCTGAGCCAGAGTAGTAAAGCACTTAGAACTGGAGGTAGATTTGGGTTTGGAAGCCACATTTACTTAGTATCCATGTGACTTTGACAAGTCACTTCTCCTCCTAAAGATCTTAATTTACGTCTGTAAAATGAGTGGGTTTTCCTAGGTGACCAATAATATCTCCTTCTAATATTAAAATCCTATGATCCTAGCTCCAAGCAAGTGCTTCCCACCTCCTACTGAACGTCTACAGATGCCAATGCAATATGATGGCAGAAGGCAGCTGTTGGGGTCCATTGGGTGTGGCAGTCTTGGCTCACACCTATCACAAACTGCAGAGGCATGGTAGAGCCAACAGCTCACAAGCTTCTGGTTTGCATGGTTTCATACCTAATGAAAGGATAATGGTTTCCTAGGAGAGTCTTACCAAGAGCCTGTGAGCTCCTTGAGAACAGGGACTATCTTTTGCCTTTTCTTGTATAACCCCAGCACTTAGCATTGCACTTGCACATAGTAGGCACTTAATACATGCTTGTTGACAATTGAACTGACTTCCCACAGACACCATCTTACTCTTCCCTTTTTATTCAAGAGCAGGTCAAAACTGGAGAGCATTAAGAAATGAATTAAGCCAATCTAGTTGGGTGAGGGTTGTGATGGTGATGCAGATCTGGCCCTATTCAACGAATAAGCCAGATCTTCTTGCTGTATCCCTTGCCTGAACTCCTGGGTTTGAGTTGATGTAAACAAGATCAGAAAAAGAAGTTTCAGGGTTTGGGGTTTTTCCTCCCATACTTGTAAATGAAAAACTCCCAGTGGCTTGAGTAGATAACCTTATTTTACAAATGATACCAAGAGCAAATACGTAGCATTTCTTGTACATGATGTAAATGTTTTCCTCCTTTTCTGATCATCTTCTCTTTATTCACTGTAGTGCTTTTGTTTACTTTGATTCATAGCTACAAGAGAGGTTATCAAGGCCAACCTCCTCATTTTACATATATGGAAACCAAGGTCCACTGAGGGCAAGTTCACACAACAAACTATTGGCGGCATACTCTGACTAGAACTCAAGCCTCATTTCAGTGCTTCTTCCACTATCCAGACTCCTTTATTCCTGCAAATAATGCTGGCCCACTCTGCCCATCTTTTCCAATTCTTCACTTCTCATTCTTTGTAGTCTCCCTCTTTTTGTCCTTTCCCTGTCCCTTCTCTTACCCCAAACTTCATCTCTTATAGTCCCACAACCAATGAATGGGTTGGAGAGAGGAAGTGGTTTGGGTTAATCAGAGATGAGAAGATGCAGAGTTCCTTCATCCCAGTACTTCAAATAATGCCTTTATTCCAATCTTGTTCTTTCTCCTTTCCTCACTTGTTCTTTCTTTTTCTCTTCTTTGCCAAGAGTGTTTTCCATTCTTTAATCTTCTTTCTGATCCAAATTGTAAAATATCTCCTACAGACCCACTTCCCAATGATGCTTTGAGTTTGGAAGAACGGCTCACACACGAGCAATACCAGCAGAATTCTACTGTGTGTTTGGGGTGGGGTGGGGAGGGAGATGACAGACTACATTAATGACGTCCAGATGATTTTTAAGAAAAATGCCAAAATGGAATTCCTTACCTTTTTTTAATAAACAAGGTTAAACTTAAGAAATAATTATTCTTATTTTAAAGAGCCAAGATCATGCAAAACCCTACCCATGGCAATGATTTTTCTTTGGAGAACTCAAAGATTTTCCATACATGATTCTATGAGTCCTGAAAGGACTATGGACCACCTATATGACCAACCCCTCAGTTAATGACAGCATAAATAAATGAAATCCTTAGGAGAATTAGAGCTATCGGATTACGGCTGATCAACCTTGTGTGTTATTGAGTTGTAAATACATTACACAATTGACTGATTTAAGTTGTCCGTCCTCCTGTCTCACTCGCTCTTTCTGATTCACTTCGGTCCTAAATCTTGATCAACAGTGTAGAGTGTGTGTCTGGATTTTGGTGTTGCTCTTTCAACTGCTGAACCACGAACAGATTATGAGACCCTAGGGTGCAATTCTCTGGTTCTGAACTACTAGGGGTGATTTTTTTTAAACTGGACCTGTGATTCCATCAGTATAGGAAGCTCCCAGTAAGGAATCTCCTCTACCAATATTCTTTGGAAACATAGGGCTTGGGACCCTGTAGCTTCTGTCTCCAGACTGCAGAATCCCTGCCTAACCCAGAATGTAAAGCCCTTACATATCATATTTTTCTGCTTTTACTTGCCTGGTTGTCAGAGCCTGAGTCCTACTTTCCTGAATGATAGCTCTGCCTCCTATCATACATATATTGCTGGCCCCAGGTGGCTTTTCTATATTCTACTTTTCCTTCAAATTCATAGTTTCTCAATCTACTTTCAACTGCTTGCTTTTTCTACTTCACAGTTAGGGGTCTTACTGGGTACCACCTTCCTTTCCTATGCTCTCTAGGCATTTAATTCCCCTTCTCCTCCACTGTCAGTGACACTCCCAGAGCTGCTTCCTGAGTGGACTAAAAGAGCACCAGATATCATTGCTAGTGAAAACAAGCCCAGAGCTCACTGTTAATCTCTCAACTTGATAGTAACACCCTGTCATTATCATATGTATTGAAATACCTTTTGTCACAAGTAAATTAATTATCTTGACAAGTAACATATGGGGCTTTCTAATCTTTACATACTAATAACTACTATTTGGTGTACTGGAATTAAATCAATCAATCACTAAACAACTGAGTACTTACTATATGACAGGCACTGTGCTAAGCTCTTGGGGGATACAAGAAGAGACAAAAGATAGTCCCTGCCCTCAAGGAGTTTACAATCTAACGGAGGAGATAAAATGCAAACAAAGGGAGTTATACAAGATAAATAGGAAATAATTGAAGGAATTAATTCATTAATTCCTTAAGAGGGGTTGGGGAAGACTTCTAGAAGAAGGTAGGATTTTAGTTGTGACTTAAAAGGAAGCTAGGGAGGTCTGTAGTGAGAGAGGAGGAAAGAGGACATTCCATGGGGGAACAACCAGAAAGAATGCCTGGAGCCAATAGATGGAGTGACTTGGTAGAACAGCAAGGAGGCTGATGTCACTAGATTGAAGAGTACAAGTCCGAGAGTAAGGTGTAAAAAGACTGGACAGGTGGGGGCCGGGTATGGGTTATGACGGGCTTTGTATTTGATTCAACAATCAATCGGAAGTCACTGGAATTTATTGGGGGGGTGGTGTTACATATTCAGACTTTTGATTTAGGAAAATCACTTTAGTGGTTGAATAGAGGAGAGACCGGATTGGGGAGAGACTTGATGCAGACTCAATGGCAGCCTATTACAACAGTCCAGGCGTGAGATGATGAGGGCCTGCACTAGAATTGTGGCAGTGTCAGAGGACAGAAAGGGGCATATTAGAAGCCGAAAATGTGAAACTGACATTAAAGATCATAGCAAGAAGAATTTGGAAAGAGCAAATGATGAGATAGATCCACTATAGCTATTCAATTTGCAGTATATATTGGTGAGTTCAATTGATTTTCCATTTCTCTCATTAAATCATATCTGGAATTCATCTTTTAGAAAATTATCAATGTGAATATCATGTCAAGTCAGTATTTTAGTGATATTCCCTTACTGATGGATCCAGCAGCAGATAGGGAGCCAAGGGGAAAAGTTTTCATCATATTAAATCTTTTACTGAAGTCCTACTTCAATACTTCACTGTGGCATGGAGCTTACATTTAGCCACTTAAAAGGTTGTGAGATAAATTTTGTCAGGTTCTATCAAGATGCAAAGGCTTCTAGCTTGAGTCCAGCCATAGGATGTACATCTTTTATCTAAGGACCTTTCCCACTAAATTTATTAGAATGATGGCCACCAGGTGCCATTTTTGACCATGGCACTTCATAAAGTAGAGATGCAATCTGAATGAGGAAGATGCTATACCAGGCATAATCAAGGATCTTTTGAAGTATCAAATAAGTCAGCTTGGCAAATAATCAGTGTGATAAGAAAAATAGGAAAAAAGATTAATTTGAATTTGATGAATGTTTCCCCAAACTTTAAAAAGTTACTTTTCAATGTATAGCCTCTATCAGATTGCATACCCTCTTTGGGGGGGGGAAGGGCAGGAGAGGGCAAAATTTAGAACTCAAAATCTTTTAAATGTTGAATGAATGAATGCTGAAAACAAAAAATAAATTAATAATTTTTTTTAAAAAGTCACTTTTCATAGTTTAACTTTCTTTGCCTATCCCTACACTAAAATGAAAAATTCATATCTCAGACAGTTTATCTTAAGAGTCTTCTTTCTAAGTGAGCCACAGAAATTCACCTAAGTGGCATTTTGCGAGTTGTATCAATCTTTCAGTAATTCTGAGACTTAGATTTCCTTTCCTACTGCAAAGGCCTGTTTCTTTTTTTGTGTTCTGAGAAGATGATAAAATCAGCCTCCAGAATCCACATTTAATTTCATTTTGATGTCCAGCCATTCAGCAAGAACAATAAAAAAGCTTTTATTCCCTCCTAATTTCCATATTTTTTTTAATCTGATAAGCCAATTGACACTTGATCAGGAAGAAATTTCTCTTTCAGTTTTTAGCTAGGATCTTAGAAAGAGTCACCTAACTACCTCTTTCTCCTTCCTAAAATATGCATGTAGGAGCAACAGTCTTCAGACTATGGTTAGAACATGGTCTCTCCTTTCTTGTAAGACCTCCAAATCTCAGGATACCCCCTCTAGATGTGTGCAGAGATGAGTGGACAAGTCAACGACCATGCAGTACCCTAAGCATTCATGTCTCATTTACACACAGATAATAAAATGTTAAAAGGTGTCCTACCCTGAGATTGCAGCAAGTTTTTGATGGGCCTGCCGGGCCATTTCACAGCCTTTGGTTCGGGCCTTGTGCATTTCCGCCCTTAGAGATGGACAGTTGACTGAGACATCCCCAATAGAAATGACTAACTCTCGATACAGGGCCACTTGGGTATTGAATTCTTGGACAAGCTGGAAGAAAGATGAGTTACTTTCATGAAACACAATAAAATAGGCAGCAAGTTTCATACTCCAACACATGTGAACAGAGGCCTGCCTTCCAGCTGACCCACTCAAGAAATTGGGCAGAAAATGAATTTTTCAGACACTTAAACATTTTAGATAATGAACTTTTCATAACCTTTGAGATAAACATTGTTATTCCTAATTTGGCCCTCTTCAAAGGTCCACCTTCCAAACCAGATCGTAATGATTTCCACCAGGATGCTCTCACCACTCTTATTGGATCAAGGTTGGAAATCTCTCAAGTTGCTCAGAGATTACATCAAAAGGGTCACTCTCGTCTTGTCTTTTTTCAGAAAACACTTTGTCAAGTGGTTGACCGCCAAGCTGCTTACCTTTCTTCAGCCAGGCCCACCACTGAAGGATTCCAGCTTCCCAAAGGCTGGATGGTTTGGGGGCATCACAAGCAGAAAATCATTACATTCACTGCACTGGAACCAGCCTCCTTTCTGCAGCAAGCACAGTTATCTGTTTGGGTTTTTTTCTCTCCTCCTCCCTTCCCCCCCCCCTTTTTTTAATCTCCTCCTTTCCCCTTTCAGAGATCTAATTCACCGTCTCCTTTGCAGCCACCATTCTCAGAAGGGAGAGAAACTACAAACCGTCGGACGCTTAGTGGCCCCCTCATTTTCTCTAGAACCCAGTGGCAGTGTCCTAGCACTTTCCCCTTTGAACCAAGATGACTTGGGTGTCAACCCGAATCGGAGCTAGGGGGACTGGGGGGTGGGGGGGGTGGACTGCAGTTTTAAAAATAGTGCAACTGCACGTGATCGGAATAGACAAACCGAGGGGGGAGTGGCACTAAAGCAAACGATCAAAATACATGACTCCCCAACCCCCCTTAAAAAAAACTGCTTTTGTTTTTACCCACCATCTTGCAGTCGTCCAGGGCTCTCTGGGTCTTGTGGGCGCTCTCGGAGCCGCTGCCCCTGCGCTCACAGTCCCCGCTCGGCAGCGTCGGCTTGCTGATCTGAAAGATCGAGGAGCGAGTGGAGCGGCCGGGGCGCTTTTTGCGCCCATTCGGTGCAGAACTCATGCAGACACATCCACCAAGCCGAAGCTGCGGCTGGGCTGCCCGGATCCCCAGCAGGCGCGGCCAGGGCTATTTCCCCACCGCGCCGAAGACCACGGCCAAGGAGGCGGCCACAGTCCCTCTCCCTGGGCGCTCACAGCAGCGGCGACGGCCGGGGCGGCTGGTAACCTTCAGCTTGAAGGAGAGCTGAGCGAGCGGGTGCTGTGCTTTGCAGCATCGCTCCCACTACGGGCGCGGACGGAGGATGTCAAGTTGCCTTCAGCAGCATCTCAGCCCCTGCAGGGGCAACCTGGCGCGGGCAGATCGCTGAGCCTTCCTCTAGGCATGGATCTGGAGGCGAGGCAAGGACAACGGTGCCCGGCAGTTCAGAGTTTCCATTCAGAAGGGAGATCAGCTTTCAAAACCTAAGCTGCAAGGGTTGAGGGGCGGAAGCAGAGGGTGAAGGGGAGGGGGGGTTGAGGGGAGAAGAGTCGCTCCAGCTTTTGTGTCTTCCCGCAGCGGCGCTTGCTTCTTTAGCCTCCTCCCCTCCCTCCCCCCCTTTCCCAGACCTGTGAGGACCGTCTGTCCTCCGAGCGGGCCACGGGCTCTAATGGCTTGCCTGGATCCAGTCTCTAAGGGCTGTTCTGTTTGAGGATCCCAAATGGACCCGTGGTGGGACTGGTAGACGCAGGGAATCTGGCAGGCTGACGTTGTTAGCAACCCAGCCCATTGATAGGACAGGAATACTAATGCGATCCATCAATCCAACCCCCCTACAGTTTATGCACTTATCCAATCAAATGCTCAGGAACATCAATTGCAAATATTACTTCATCTTCTCTATTATTAGAAACGAAAAGTGTCATCAGAGCGGAGCATATTACCACATGCCGGGATCTAAACAGTATGAATTTAAGCTTAACCAGTGTTGATCTGAGGCCCTCTCTCTCTGATTGGGTCCGTGGGCCATTAACTCTTAATGGGGGATGGGAAGGGAGAGAGGGAGATTAAAAAAGTTTTACGGCTCAAATAGAAGATCTATCCATTCAGAGTTAGAAATACTTTGACTCCGATGTATGAAAACAGATGATTTGTTTCCCATGTTCTTTCTATTATGTGTAGAAATTACCAGTGTCAGGTGAGGTAGAAGGTACAAATGTGACCCTGTCATAAGGATCCCTTACTCCAACACCACCTGCTTCCTCCAGCTTGTTAATGTCATTGGAGTTGGCTCTGAGTTCCAGAATGAGCTGTGAGATTCTTTTAACAGGCTGTCAGACAGTGAGAGTAATCAGCAGTTCCCTGTAATAGCCACCTAGCCTCCTCTGTGGGGACGTAACTAACCAGGAAGCTGAGGTCAGTAATCGGAGCAGTAAGGGAGAATTATAGGTATGATGGAGATGGTGCCTGTTTGTGCAAAAGTTGTCCTAGAGTGGTAAGAAGCTGAAGTCAGGGGGGAAGGGGAAAGACAAAGTCAGGTGTCCCGGATTATGGAATAGGGAATGAGGCAGTCGATCAGAAGCGAGGGCAATCGAACAATTTCCTTGGGCTGTGGCAGTATTGATGGTATCTTCTCTCAATTCCAAACCCCGCTAGAAACAGAGGAAAGGGCTATACCTTTCATTTGATCTTAATGGAAGGAAGGGGAGGGAGCTGACTTGGGGTTCCAATCTAATGTTGAGTGCACTTGAACCCCGAATGAGCTTTTTGAGAGGATGTAAATAAAAAGACAGCTGGCAAATAGAAGAGTATTTGTGCTACCTCCCTCACAGGGCTGCTGTGAGGAAAGTGCTCTGTAAATCTTAAAATTTGACTTTCTGTCTCTCCTTCCACCCTTTCCCTCAATCTTTATTTATCAGTGTGAGGAATTCTTTGGTGTGGAAACCCCCTCTACCAATGTAGATTGGATCATAAGACTGTAGAATTAGAATCTTTATCAGATTTAGAGAGTTGCCTGAGGGCACTTAGAGGTTAAGTGACTTTCCCATTGTCACACGGCTAGTATAAAGATGTGAGTTGAAACTTAGGTCTTCCTGACTCCAAAGCTGGTTCTCTATCCTCTATGACATCCTTCCTCTCATAACACACAATATAAGTGAGTTAGTATTATTTCAAGAAATTAAAATAGAACAAGGTAAAACCCCTGATCCTATTTTCTATTTCTTATAGGAGCCGGCGTTGGAGAGGAAGAGACATTCCCTGGCAGCTCTTCAGTGCCAAGAATGTGAATGCAGGGGCTGTGAATGTGGAGGAAACTTACCTCCTGCTTTTCTGATTACTATGTTTGTCCCAGAAAAAGAGAGCTAAGGCATTGCTGTTGTCTCTTCCTCCTCCAACAAGGAAATGGCTTGGGCTATGTAACCCAGGGGATGAAGGGGCATCTATAAATTATAGTCTTAATTTAATGCACACAGCAGATTTTGAAGTTTCTAATTCTTTTGTTGCCTATTGGTGACTAGGTTGGAATTACTTAACTCTACAAGAATCAGGAAATATTGGGCATACTGATTCATTCAAAAATAATTATTTGTTGAGCACCTACCATGTATACAAGACACTACTACTAACATAGGGGATACAACATAAGAAATAAATTAATCAATCATCCAATATTTATTGAGTACTTGCCATAATTGAGGGGCAGCACACCATTGTTGATAAAGGTCTCGCCTTGGAGTCAAGGCGACTTGGGTTCAAGTCTTATCTGTGACACAGGTATAAGCTATGTGACCACAGGAAAGTTGCCTAGCTTCCAAGCATTGCTGGCAACTCTGAAGAACTATACATCACAGATAGTCATGGATTTTCATGGGTAAAAGAAATTTCCACACTAGGCAATTCAGTACCTGATGAAATCACTGATGAAACCCTAACAAAACATATAAGTACTTCAAGTTTATTTGAGTTCTTTCTTCATGACACATTTGTGAGGTGGATAGCAGAGATGTTACTATCATCATTCTACAAATGAGAAATTGAGGTCTAGAGATTCAGCTAGCAAATGTCATAGCTAGGTTTCACATCCAAGTCTCCCTTCTCCCATCCTGGATTTTTTCTATTCCACCACACTGCCTCTCTATGGCATAGCAAATCATTTCTCTAGCTTCTTTCAAGATAACACTCGAAACCCATCTTCTGCAGGAAATTCCATCATGCCATCTGAATTATCTACTGTGTATATATCTTATATATACTTATTTATATGCTTTCCTCTCCATTAGAATGTGAATTCCTTGAAGGTTAAACTTTTTCTTTATGTCTTTTTCTTTGTATCCCCACTTAGCACTGTTCCTGGCACATGGTAATTTGTTGTAGGCACTGTAGTGCCTACAGAAAATCTATAAGATATGATTCTTTTCTTTGAAAGACTTATAGTCTAGTTGGGGGCCATAAGACACACACACACACAGAGAGCTTAGGAATTCAATTGATTCTGAAATAACAGCTACAGAGAAGGTAGAGATAATTGACCCACAGCTGAAAGGGTCCTTAGAAGTCATCTAGTCAGAGGGTTACAGATTGGAACCTGAAAGAGACCTTGAAAGTCAATCTCATTCACTTTACAAATAAAGATATTGAGGTCTAGAGAAGTTAAGAGACTTGCCCAAGGTCACACAGATAGTAAGTGACTGAGCCAGGACCTAAACACAGCTTCTGTGTCCCCAAATGAAGCATTTTCCCCACTGCATCACAAAGCCTATAAGAATTTAGCATAGAGCCTGGAACACAGCAGGTGTTTAATAAAAGTTTGCTGATTTGACTGTCAATATGGGCTGATTTAGTTGGGGAAGGCTTTGTGGAAATGAATGGTTTGAGTTGGGCTTTGAAAGATATGTAGGCTTTGGAAAGGTGGCAAAAGAAGCAGAAGAAAGGACAGATTTCTTTTGGGTTTGGAAAGAATTCATAAGCAAAGGCCCAAAAATGCATAGATGAGCATAGTTTATACTGGAACAGTGAGGAGGCTAGCCTGATTAGGATCTAAGAGGAAGTAAGTACAGATAGATATAATAGTTTGGGGTCAGGAAGGCATAAAAGACCAAGCAGAAAATGCAGTAGGAAGCAGGATTTACTATTTCCTATAATTTTTTTTGACCAAGTGTATTATGTGGTTTTAAAAAAAAAACTGCTTTAATAAGATTAATCTGAAAGAAATGTCCAAGGTGACCTAGAGGTGGGATAGGGGGTAGAAAATGAAGTCAGGGAAACTAGCAAGTTTGACTATTGTGGTGCTACAAGTGGGAAGCAATCAGGAGTAGGACTAGGCTGGTGACAACAGGAACAGAAGGCAAAAACCAGAGATGTTTCAAAGGAAGCAAAAGGATTTAATAATTATAATAGATGACATTAACATAGTACCTTCAAGTTTATAAAAACACTTAATTGTCCATGATCTCATTGGTCTGGTGATGGAATAAGCTCCAGGGCCCCCACTGCAGACTCTCCTATAAAGAATCTCTGCCTCAGGGTGGGGGCTGGGCTGAAGAAAACAACCTGAGGTCCCATCTCTGAGGAATCAGCCTATGCCCAGATCATGAAGGACCAGAATCCTTTAGCTGAGCCCTAAGTCTGCTTGGAGGAGCACTGCCATTAAGACATGGACATAGCAATTTTCTGGGTAGGGAAGAATTAAGCGTTTTTTGTTAAGGGTCAGAATGCACCTGATAGATTTGTTCCCTTGAAGGACCCAGGCTTCTTCACCCTTTTTGTTTCCTGATCCCTTTGGTCAGCCTCATAAAGCTTATGAACTCCTCAGAATCATGTTTTAAAATTAATAAAATAAAATACATGGTATTACAAAAGAAGTAAATTATATTGAAATATTAAATATCAAAATTAAATATTAAATATTTATTTTATTATTATTACATTATTACAAAATATTACAAAACTGAAACTAAAACAAAGATCACGGACTTGAGATTAAGAATCCCTGGTCTAGGACAACCCACTTTAAGGGTAGAGTTGACTGGTGAAAATCTTAGCTGCTCAAGCTAAGATGGCAGCAATGGGCCCTAGCAGTTCAT